GTCAGTTTTCTTATCAGTGTCATTAAGGTGGCTTACTACATTTTTGATGGATTATAACAGCCCAACTTCTGACTCTTTGAAAAATGTTTCAAGATGTTTTTCCTTTGTCTATTTACTGTTTGGCTAAGTCTTTTACCATTCTATGTGAAACTTGAACAATTAAACATCAACAACTGGCCAAAATGAACGACTGAGTACCTAACGAGAGACTGGGCACTAGCAGATTAAATCATATTTTTCTCAAAACCTACCTGTATGACCCCACCTCAAAATTTCAGGAATAAGCAATTGGCTCTGATTGAACATTCATGCAGAGTGAAATAAAAATCTGTAGGACAGATTTTTTGCAAACTAAGGAAATGTGAAATCAAAAATAGCTCAAAATCGGTCTTGCAGATTTTTTTAAAATTTTTTGGCCCTAAACATGATTCACCCCTACAAATCAAAATTCTGTGAAAATTTCATCATGGGTTGTATGGTAGGTTTTCGAGCAATCCTCAATCAAAGGTTGGCTTTTACAACCTTGGATGAGAATTGAATTGCGCATGGCCTTTATTATAGCGCACACTCGTGTGACACCATGTATCATGTTTGAGAAAGCAAGAGTAAATTAGAGCTCTTTTACCTGTTGTTTAGTCAGTTTTTTTGTCATATTTTTTTGGCCCTAGGCTTAAACACATGTTTGAACAAAGTTTGAAACTATTGCTACGTATACTGAAGTGATATAACACCTTCAAGTGCTGAAGTGGTTTTCGTTTCTTGTTAGAGTTACTCACATCAGTTTTGCATGCGCAATTAATACTGATGTCTGGCAGGCAATCGTAGTGCATGCTACTGAGTCTCCCAAAAACTGTAGTAAGCCACCTTAATATGGATGGAATGAAGTAAAATGTAGAGTTGTAACAGCCTTTTTGTCTTATCTTAGGTCACAATCCTATTTTCCAATTTTTCTGAGGAGGATAGGGCATTACCAGATGCTATTCAATATAGACGTGAAATAAATGAATACAATAAAAGATATTCAGGAGTACCAAGACCAGTAAGTAACTGTTTTTAAGTTTTAAACAGTCAATACTGTAAGAAGTATGTAGTTACTGTAAGAGATGTTGGGCTGTAGGTTTATTTGAATGAATTTATGTAGAAGTAGATGGCTAGTAGACTACCAGATATGTTCTTAGAAAAGAAGGTTCGCGTTGCTCTGACCTCAATATGCATCTTTATGGTGGAGCTGTCGCACAAAATGGCGGCCATACTCCAGCTAATAGGTTGGCCGAGACATGCAGCCTTGGTTTACAACGTACATTAATTGACACCTGTCAAAACAAGGTATCTGCTGACCAGTATCACATGGCCATATTGTGGGCTCAAGTTTAGAGCTCAGTGAGGTCATGGGGTTTTTTTGAAGTTGAT